CGCGGGGGACGCTGGCCCCAGCCGGCCCCCTCGCTATGTCCCATGGGTCGAGAGCCAGCGCGTGGGGCGAGGATTGCATGTGAGGCTCCGGAGTCAAAGCCGGAGCTGTTCTGGGGCTGCGGGAGACCCCTGTCCTCCCGCCTGCGCTGGGCATTGAGGCTACAGTCAGAGGCTGCATGTGTCCCGGGACAGCCCAGTTTATCCTGGGACAAAATGCAGTGGTTCAGACATCCATATTCGCTGTTCCGGGATAGATCCATGAAAGAGCCACAGGATGAGAAGTGCGCACAGTTTAGCTGGGGCGTGGGAATAGCGATCCCTGAGTTGCATTGCTGCAGCCAGTTCGCTAAACCCTGATGGGAAGGGATGTGTGCACACGCCCATCCCAGGGTATATCTGCTCCAGGACACAGACACAGCTTGTCTGGGGGCAGATGCAATGTCTGTTCCTAGCCTGACCACAAGTGCCTCTTGGCACACACCTGTCCCATTGTTTGGCCCATGCAGGCGTTGCACACCAGCAGAGTCTGTCTTATATGCTCCGCTGAAACATAAATCCAATTTGCATGAACGTACACATGATCACTAGTAAAGAAATGTAGAGTCTGGAAGATGCAGACTGGCTGCACTGGCACTGGCTAAAGGGGCAATGATAAATGGGTTGTACTGAAGGGGATGAAATTAACTCAAGGGTCAGTCTTGGAACTGATCTTATTTAATATTTTCACTAGCCATCTTGTAAAAAAAACCTGGGATTCTGGTGAAGAAACTCACTGATGATGACACAATGATGGGAGGAGGTTTAGAGTATTATATAGGAAAAATACAGGAAATATTATACAGGAAGAACATTGAAGGCTGCAGTAAAGGAAACAATGAAACTAGTACAAAGGGCAAGGTCTTGCACTTAGGCACTAATAACAAGTATTTCAGCTATGCTTTAAGGGATCATTAGCTGGAAATGACAGGAAGAAAAAGACCTCAGTGTATCAGGTGACTCTATAAGCCACTAATATATGGCTATGAAGAAGGTCAATGCAATTGCAGGATGTGTCAAAAGGAATGTCCTATAAAGATTGGGAAGTATTAATGCCATTGTATAAGACCTCACCTAGAATACTGTGTACAGTTCTGGTCACCCAGGTAAACAAAAGAGGAATGTGAACTGGAATGGGTAAGTCAGGTGATTGTAGAAATGGAGAGGAGACTAAGGGCTTGTTCATATTGCTTCAGCAGTATTCTTGAGAATACAGCTAAGCCATACACTCAGCCCTCCCATTCCTGCTTCCAGAAATGAGGAAGCGAAAAGGACCTGTGCTGAGGAACAGTGTAGAGGAGGGGAAAGGAGTCTCAGGGCAGCTCAACAGCCTTGTTCCTGGATTGGGCAGGTGTGGAATGGCAGTGGCTGGGCCAGGTAGGCTCTCGGGAGTACTGCGGAAGTGGGATACTCATGTCCTCAAAGGCTCTAGTCTTAAATTAATTGGGAGCCAAAAACTAGGGAGGAAGGAAGATGAGCTACTTAAACCGGCACAAGAACAAAGGGTTACAAACTGGTCGTGGATGGAGGTAGGTTAAAAATTAGAAGGTTTTTAACCTTTGATCAGGATTAAAGCAACCTCTGGGGGGCAGGGGGAAGGGAGGGGGGGGACAGGAAACCTAACCCTGTTAAAGACAGGTCTTGATAAATTTATGAACAGGATTAGGTGACTGCTTGCTTTCCTTAAGAGGGCACTGGACCCAGTGACCCAAGAGATTCCTTACAGTTCTATGTTCAATCCAAATTCCTTGTTAGGACTGCACAATTTGCAGGTGCTCATAGACCAGACTACCTGAGAGCTTTATTTAGATCAAAGATTCAGACTCTTGCAGCACATCTCGGTCTACATGTTACTGTCGGAAAATTTGCTTATGAATAATTACAGAATTAGTCTTGGTCAAGCAGCTCTCCAGGTCTGCCCAGATAAAATAGGTCAAAGGTACATCATGCAAGTCATTAAATAGAACAAAATACTATCATGCCTATGCATGATCCGCTGGCTTAATGCACATGAATATGACTCACTTCTGGCTCACTCTAGTGAAGACAGCAACCTGCTACCTAGTGGAGGATGGAGCTATTCTTGTAGCTCAGGTGACAGGAGGGAATGGGGTTGAAACCTTTGTACACATTTGGGAACAAGAAATTTTGGTTTCAGCTGACATACAAAATAGGAGCTATGTCATCTCATAACTAATCCTAGAAGTCTAATGAGGCATAAGCCATTCCAAAAGGTTTAGAGTTTAATGCCAGCAGAATAATTTAAATTTAAGCTGTCTCAGAGAAAAGAACAAAATATAGCCCTTCCCTAGCACCCAGAGAGACAGGCTTTCCTGGAACATCAGAGATGCTGGGAGCCAAGAAGTATTTGGTCTTGGGGTCAGGGGCACAGCATTATGATCCATGTAGCAAAATGTTCCTTTTTGACCTTCTTTTACAATGTGAGTTTCTCTCTTTCTCTGACTAACCGATCATACTTGCTATTACTTACAAACCCTAAACTGGGTTGTGGATGGTGGATTGTGGAAAAATTCTGATCTGCTCTACACAAAATCTGCACCAGTTTTATGCTGAAAAAAAAGTAAGTTCTCCCAGTTATAGTACAGTAAAAGTTGCGTTAACCGGCACTTCATTAACCAGCATGCTCTATTAACCGGCATGCCGGTTGACACAGCAAAAGGGAAATCGGAAGTGTAGTATGATTTTCTCTTGTAGACAGGGCCTTAATGCATCATTTAAAAATAACTGAATTAAAAAGGAACAAGTTACTTACTGTGTTCCTTTTTTCCTTGTGTGTTTCCACGACAATTCCTGGTGCCGTGACTTGGATCTAGAACACGTGTTGAGGAAGGAGGACCGCGGACTGCCCCCCCACCCGAACCCCGAGGCGCCAAACTTGAGAGGTAAGAGACCTAATTCAAAATCTCTATTGGGGTTTCAGAGGAGGACTGTCCATAGGCTCCCAACTTGGCTGTGGTAACTGGATCTGAACCTTGTTAAAACAGGTCAGTTCAGAACCTTACTGCCGGCTAAAATTTTGTGTCTGATAATCCTGTCTGGTAATGTACGTTCTGTTCAGGGAGAATCTGTCTGAATCACCTCCATCCAACAGCACATTGGGCTTGCAGTTAGTTAACCGAGGCAATGTGGGAGGGGGTCTGGCTGACTGAATGGATGTGTGTGTGTGTATTTAGAAATATGAGCCGCTGACCAGGTCTGGGACTATGGTTGGGTTCAGCCGCCCCAATTCTGCCTGACAGGGCAGTTTTGAAAGCAAGGGAGCCCAACTGGAACCTCATGACCCAGTGGACAGGGCTTCAAAGTGATTTTGTCTTTTCCAAACCCCTTGTCCCAGTAGCTTCTGCCAAAACAGAAGTAAAAGGATCCCTTTTGTGTTTCCCTCCCCATTTCCATTTTATGAGCCAGTGTTGGGTTGGAAAATGGTTTTTCACCGCCTTTTGTCTGGGCGGTGAAAAACTGTGGGGCAAGGCACTGAGGTACCTGGATAAGTGGAACTGGTATACTAGGGATGATCCTGTGAAGCATTTTCCACAGGAAGGAACATTTGATCAGGATAAAATAGTGCACTTAAGAGGGGCTTTAGAGTCCCGTGGATCCAAAACACCACAAAACCAGTGGGACGCGTTCTTTTATTGGTATGATGAGATGTCCAAAAGGCGAACAGAATCTCAAACTAGAAGTCTAAAAGACTCTCAAGAAAAATTAAAACAGCAGTTAAAAGCTGTTCGGGAAAAATTGGCTGCTCCCCCAAATTACACGCTGGCCACTGCTCCGATGAATCCAGCATTGCCTAGGGCGCCCCCACCGTCGGAGCCAGCAGAGGATATCCTTGACTTTTGTTCAAACCCTGCTTTCATGAGACTCCCACATCAACAACAACGGGTTCAACATCAGGCTGCAGCCCAGGCTGGGGACCCATTAGCTAAAGCTCCTTTGGTAAACTCATCCACGGAGCTTAATAGTCCAGACTCATCCACCATATCTGCCACTCAGTCATCACCAGTGTGGCAATTTACTTCTGGGTCACAACCCACCACAGGTGTATTTAGAAGAATGGGAATAGGCAC